GCGATGATAGAATAATGCCAAAGAAACCTAAAAAATACTACTATGAGCTATGAAAAAGCTGTGAATATCATTAAATAGATCTCCTATATTTGTGTTTATATCTTGAGTGAAACCCTTATAGCAAGGCCTTTAACGAATATGGGGAGCTTTTAATCGAATATGGTGCTAGAATTTCATAGAAAAATACAGTATTTTGAGATTTTGGGACCATTATCATGGAGACGAAAAATCTGATTTTACAATCCGATGAAATTTGCTGAGATCTGTTTGATACACGAGTGTGAGAGTTGAAATATTTCTTGGAATGAATATTGGCAGATTTAACAAAAGGAATTCCAGGATTTCCTTGGATTTTTCGAAATTGTAGGAAAACGCTTCGAGATCTAGTTAATTCAAATTACCATTTGATAGAACATATGAAATTTCACTAGAAACATGCGCATGCGCGTTGGAACATCAGCTCACAAGAGTATCGATAGATTTTACTCGAATACGATACTAATTGCACTTACGTGTGAAAATCACGATTTTACTCCATTAAAATTAGCACAATCTTACTACCGCGGAAAAAATTAATGCAAATCGTATTTTTGATCTAAAGCACAGAGTTAATGGTCAGAATCAGTTTTCTTGGATATATATGAATATTACAAGAATAGGCATTTATAATACAAATAAATGTGGAAACTTCGGATTTCATCCGAAAGTTATGTGTACTGCAAAAAGTGCACGGGATATATGAGTCATTCTAGAATGTCTGAACACCAAAATTATCATGAGAAACTAGGCAATTTGATTTCTGGATGCAGTTTTTGTGCATTTTGAGACGTTTTTCAGGCGATGTTTCATCAGAAAGCTACGATTTATTGCAAAACTAATATCAGATTCGGAATCAGCGTTAAAAACTGAGTCGNGTGCACAAAATTTCAGCTCAATCGAATGTAATTCTGAAGAGTTATCGAATAAACGGACGGCCGGACACACTGACCGATTCTATAGTGTACTCTTTTTTTTTTGAGTACACAAAAACTGAATTTACCGTTGGGAAATTTATCACTAAGAAAATCCTATTAATAGAGATAATGATGTCTTTAACTAACTGCATAATCATCTCCTCATTCATTATGCATCGTTAATTGTATTCAAAGTCATGCTAAGTACAAGCTAACAAAACAGTAATGGTCTCACAGCTTGAAAAAAACATGGTCTAAATGTAGTTTATTAGTTCACGAGAATGCCTGATTTAGATTTTTAATGATTTTTCTTACCTTCATTGTTTTCTAATTCCTTTTCACTAAGACAAATAGGATACGGATGTAATATTAAAAAACTGTATGGCATCGTTAAATATGTGCTTGTTGTAGTTCCTTGAAGATATTTCTACTAGAATATAAATTAGAAAGCAATTTTTTGTGAAAATCTTCGATCAATGTTGATTATATAGACAATTTGTATATGATCAGTTCATTATTTATCGAGTTTAAAATAGCTCGGAAGTTAAAATTTGGTTATTATATTGCTTGTCACTAATTGTTTTGTGTTGATCATTCTCAGCGTTTGTCTGTACATAGTAAATCATGAATGATGAAACTTTAATGTGAAAGTAACTAATAAAATAATTGTTTTTCTGTATATTTATACATGATTCTATAGAGAATTCAAAGAAAACCTCAATATAGTTTAGGCATGAAAAAAAAAACTTTATCCTGAGATTTTTTTTAGAGCATTTATATCAAGAAAAGAGATTGAAATCAGAGTTACTTATCCATATAGTTTCAGCAAATCTTTTCTTTAGAAATACCACGACAAGTATTGACAGATAGGGAATTCTATCAAAACAAAACATTCTAGAATATCGGAAAATATTTCGGTAATGCCGGTATGCAGAAATTTTCACGAATTTTTTCTTCTTTTTGACCATTACAATTACGCAGATTTGTAGGGAAAAAAGCGAAATCAACATTTTTGTAGCAGTCAAACTTCTCTATTGAACCAACACCGTAACAAGATTTCTGCAATACCAATATGAAAATGACTATTCTATGAACATTGAAATCCATTTTGATCAGTCGATAAAGAAACCATTTAGATTTAGCAATAGAAATTATATGTCAATATTTTACGACGAGTATTTTGAATCAGTTGGACAAGCTGCTTGAAAAGAGGATATTTCATGCGCGAAATAAAACGATATCATAAGTATGAGTGAAAAAAAAACGGGAGAACTAGTTAACTAATGTAATAGATAATAATCATCAAGAACTGATGATCGCCAGAAGCTAATTATTAGCAACTGAGTAAAGAAATAAAATATGAATATTCTTTTTGTTAGATATTTCTGGTAATAGTCATTGTTGAATATATATAAAGAGCTTTATTTGAGTGGGTTGACCTTATTGATCCTGACTACTTTGAAAAAAAGGTTTCTTCTACACAAAGAAAAATGAACAATACAGTGAGATTTTAATAATTGGCTTAATTCTTGAGGGTGTGGATGTGGGTAGCTGTATATCAAGCAATGACACCCACACCCACACGCTCAGGGACTAAGATTGAACATTTAAAAAGTGTGAGCAGACGCGTACCCGGAAATCTTTTTATGGAGCGATCCTTATGAAAAAAGATATTGTTGACTTATGAAAACTAATTAATTCACGCCTTACGTCCAAATGTTTCTATACTTTTGAGAATATCGATGTCATCAATGTTCATTGTGAATGTGCCTATGGATTTGAGATCAAAGTTCATAGTTGCTTTATTGTTTATGAGTGAGTTACCTTATGCATGATGCCGATTAACAGATAACTCAGAAAAAAAGATCGTGCAATATAATATGCAATATTTGAATGAATTGAACGAAGACTTAAGAACTTACAGATTTTTTTGTGTACATATTTAGACATACTTTTCTCTGAATCAATACAAAGGTCAGGACAGAATCTAAGTCAATAAAAAGATGAAGCTATTGAAACAGCATCCAAAGACAAAATATGGTCTCGTACATCTCTAATGAGTATTCAGTATAATGATTGACAAAGTAACAACATAAGAATGAACAAGATGAAATTGAAGTGATCAACTATGCTCTGAATTCTAAACGGATTATAGATTAAGGTAACATTATTTTGATTCTAAATTATATTGAATATTATCTTAAATGAAAAGATCTCGTTCATTATGTCGATATTCGATATGTATATCTAAAAATCAAAGATCATAAGTCATATGCTTTTTTTTGACAAATGAATATCAATATTATTTTCCATATTCGTGATGGTATGATAATGATTCCATCAGCAATTATTTATATAAATCCGTTTACTGAGTTTCCAACTGATGAAGAAGTAAATGCAGGTTTTATCGATTTGAGTAAACCGTCGACAAGTGATCTAAACTATCGTCGTCATCACCCACATCCAAGATTTATAGCACACAAGACAGACAATTAAAAATTAACTTTTGAGATAAAATCAGCAGGATCATTTAAGAAAACAACCACTTAATGTTAAACTACAGAAAATTTTATTTTAAAATTCTTTTATATTGCAAGTTGTTCTTTTATCTATATCTCATTGATCTTTCAATTACTACAAAAATATGGTTTACAGGATTTACTGTCCATTGATTGCCTCGAAGAATAGAAATGAACAGAAAAATATTTATCCCAATCAACTATGTATATTTAGAAGAAAAAAAAGAATTCGAGCAAATATATGAGAAAATAACAAAGAGAACAAGGAATTGATTAATAAATAAACCAAAAAAGATGAATGGACATTTAAATTTTTGGTGGGCGCTAAAAATATCTAAGTCCAGCAGCTTTTAAGAATGATGGAATATCGATAATCGAGGTAGCATAATTGTCGTTTACCATGGGTAGATTCAGTAAATATAGCAGACATTTTTAGCAAGAGTATGAAGAAGAAAATTATGTTCTTTGAATTTATATATTTTTTTTATAATTTTTTGTCACATTAATGGCTATCTTACCCCTCAATTTGATGAGCATCCGTTATTTTAAATTGAAAATTTATTCAATATTTAGATATTATATTAAATATGCATGCCTTATCTATATCTTTAATTCGTGATTGGATAACGCACAAAAAGAAATTTATTGGACACGTCTAATCGCTACACTGAATAGAGGAAGAATGAATCATTGCTTAATCAATATGATGTCTTAAAATGACACATTCTTGCTTAAGACTGATAGTTTCAACAGTGTCTTTCAATCTGTGTTGCAAAAATGAAAATTAATTCATCATTGGTAATTTTTACTTTTCAATGGTTAATTATCAGTGAGCTTTGAAAAATATATGCTATGTTATGTTTTGTTGTATTTGCAAAACATTCAAAATCCAGAGACAACTTGAGGACGTGCTTAACATATTTAAAAAAGTGCTGAACTAGTTAGGATTCTGACTATTATTGAAGCGAAAGAACTACTACAATGCATAATGAACAACGTAGTATCCTATAAAAGATGAGAAGAAAATAATTAAATCATAGATAGAAGTAGTTTCAGCAATCATACTCGTCTACTAATGGATAATATCTACGAGACAATCTACGCAATTTGAAATAAAAATAGCGACGGTAAAATTACACTGTATTCTAAAGACGTACAAAACTTTCTTTTTCTATTGGATAAATAGAAATTCTTTTGTACTCTACGAGAATAAATATTCAATAATAATAATAATTTAAGCACCAGAAGCATTTTAATATTAATAAATGAATTTTCTTTTTTGAATGTTTTCATTAATGAAGGATGCACTGCACAGAAAATAAAATACAGCAAAAGCATGCTAAATGAAGTTAATAATAATGGTTATATGCTATGCAAAGAGAACCAGCCTTTACATCCATTAAGCATGTCATTAACAACATTGTTTTCTTAGCTAACGCACAAATGGTAAACACAAATAAGCAGACAGCCGGTCAACGAACTGCACGAAAAATATTTAAAATAAAATAAAAAGAGAATTTTGTTTCTTTTAAAAGAAGTTTATTTCTGATATGGTCGGCGTTAAAAGACCAAAGTCTTGACCATGATCCAAGTCAAATACATCATGAATAATATCATAAACTGCAACTTTATTCTTTGGTTTCTTATTTTCTTCATCAAGCCAATTAAAAAGGTCATCAATATAGCCAACTTCTTGTGTTTTCGATGGAGAAAATTCATTCTTAAAATTTGTTTCAAATGGTACTTGTGCCCTGTATTGAGGTTGATTAAAGAAACCATAGTTTTCTTTTTCCACGTATTGATAATTAACTATTTGAGGTTTAGATTTTGGTGAATTAGCCATCGATAAACATTGATCATTGGGTGCTGGAATAAAAGGCGAGAAAAAAAAGAAAAATATTGAATAACAAAAATATAAGAGAACTACTAACGCATTGACACATTTGTTGCTGTTGAATTGTTTAATATTATATGTGATATACACATTGATTCTTGCTGAATAAAACCTTTTCGTCTTTCAACATTCTGTCGATTAACATAACTCAAGCATTGATATCGCATGAAAGGACTAAATAGAAATTAAATCGAGTACAATGTTTTTGTTTGACAACAAGAATCAATATTTAACATACTCAATAAGTTGTGCCAGAAAACCTAGTTTGATTCTTTTGCTTCTACCTTCAATCAATGTATGCGTGTTGCATAAAAATGTAAGACGATCACCATCGCGAGTAAATAAATCGAGCACACTCATTGACGTAGCATGTTGATTTGAGACTAAAACAAAAAAAACGTCCATCAAAATTTTAATCAAACCATGAATGACAAATAATTTTACGGCAGTTTTGTTTTGCTTGTTCGATAATATCGCATGATTCAGTTGACAAAATTCGATGAATTGATTGATCGATTAGTTCATTTGGCTTAAAGCCTAATAAAAATTCCATACTAAAAGACAAAATAAATTTTCGGATTGAGAAAAAGAAAAAAAAACATACTTTGATGAAATTTCACTGATATTCAATTGATCAGTGAGAACAAATCGAAGTATTGTCGTGCTTGTCAAGCCCATGCTATTTATTGGAATGTTTGGTGTACTTGAAAGAATTTGTTCACAGCGTGCCACAAATAATGGTTCTTTGCTTTCATCATTTTGATTAAAGAAAAAATGGCCTGTCAACGCCATTGACTAGAAGAAAAAAGAAGATTTTTACTAATTAACAAATTTATTTCATAATTAAATTTACTTTTGTTTCTGTATTTGACCGATTTGGTCGTTTACCCCGTGGTAATATCCAATTGCAAATAGCACGATTTTCATTCAATGTTGGCGTTGAAAGAATTTGACGAATAGTATCATGATCATTCTTACTTATGCAATCGTAAATACTTATTAATTGAGGATAAAGTAATCGCTTGAAAAGAAAAAGAAAAGAAAAGAACATAAGACAAAATAATTTTTTCTTTAGTTTATTCTACATACAACATTTTTCCGTAAGTAATATTCAACATTATCGCTGATAAAAATTATTCTGCCAGCTGTGTTGACTACAATAATAAAGCCTTTGAGCTCATCTATAACCGATGAACTTTGAATACTAGTTGCTAATTGAACATTTGCTAGATTAATAATGTATACATTGTTATATTATATATATATATATATTTGTCTATTTAACTTACTGTCAGCAAGATCTGATGACCAATATTTACGGCGTAAAAGACGTGACAGTGTCAAGCTGAGTATATCATTTTTATTGAGTTTATTATTATCAAGATCATCAACTGATGAATCCATAAAAAGTTGACCTAGAGCTTCCAGAGCTTGACTTGTTTGTTTTCGTCGTTTATATGGTGTACTGTGGCATTCTTTCAAAGAATTTGCATCAGATATTGGTTCATCCAATGAAAGCTAAAGAATTATAATGAAATTTGGTTTATTCCAAATTGATAATTAAAAATAAGCATTTCTACTACCTTGAGATTACGTTGATGAGACATGATCGGCACTATAGTCGTTCAACGACACGATGTCTTCGGAGCTGTCCAGCAGACGAAGAAAGTAACTATTCAGAACGAACTAGCGTCAAAAAAGACAATGTACGCACTCCAGCGGCGCAAAAATAAGAGAATGTCGAGTTTCGAAAGCTATCATATTTACGCGGTCACCTTTTTTTCTTCTCTCTCTCTCTCTCTTGCTTTTTTCCTTTCTTCCCGACGACCGTGTTTGCGAGAAACTTTATGCAAGCCTTTATTTTTTCAGATTTCCACCTTTAATTACAAAAGAAAGAGAAAAAAACGACATCATGTGTGTATGTAGTTGACGTCGACTGCCTGCTTTCTACTTAGTATCTCGTTGTCAAATAGCTATCTTTCATTCGTATTGATCCATCTTTATTTAGGCCTAATATTCGAATAAAAATAATTCAACAAAATGAGAAAGAAAGAGTCTTTTATCCTGACCCTCCTCCTCGTTGAAGATCAGAAGTGATTCAGTTCGTAAATAAACTTCGAATATGCGACGTACGAATACGCCATTCTTCTCATGTAGTGATTGGTGTCATGCTTATTGTCGTCATTGATTGTGTATTCGAGAATAGATCAAAATTACGGATATTTTTTTCCGTTTTTTATTTTTCATTTTTCATAAATAAATAACTTCTATAACACATTTATGCTTTATTTTTTGTCTGTACTGAAACATGATCACTAAGCTAAAATGTGAAATTTGAGAGAACAAAAGCAAATAAGTTTTCTACACCTAGAAAAATGCGTGACAAGCATTGTTTAACATTGAAAAAGGAAAATCTCCTACGTATACAATATATATCATTGTTATCGTTCAAAAACAAAGAAACAAAGACTTGAATAAAAACTCTAGAATCTATTTTCATGCAATTTAAATCATAGGGAAATATAAATATGGTAGCAACTTTTTTTCTCATTTAGTCAAGTTCCGTTATAAAGTCATGTTTTTCCGGCACTTTCTTTATTGATCTAAAATTCTATAATTGCTATTTTCATACACAGACGAAACTTAACAAATTTACTTTTATGGTTTATGACAAATGAACAAAAAAATTTCGAACGAAACAAAAGATTCCGTTCATTCATAATACAAAAAAATGCTGTTAGATGATGTTCAACATTATTAATAATAATGTGTTTTTAAGTAATAATTTTAATAACAATTTTTTTCAACTTCGAAATCTTAATAAAACCAAGACAATAATATATTTATGATGAATTTATTTTGTTATAAGTACAAACTATTTAAAGAACCAATCAAATTTCAACATTCAAAAACTCAGCAAATATTAGCTTATACATAAGTAAGCATAAAACTATTCTTGGTTAATCCTATCTGTCAAAGTATAGATTATCCAAGCCAGTCGTTGGCATTTAATTTTATTGATGGCAGTTTTTGAACTATTTTATTGACGTATAAAATTGTAAAGAATATCTTGATATCGAGATCTTGAATAGTTTCAATTTTGACATAAATTATGCAATTGTCAATAATGATACTTGTAGCGCTCTCATAACTAAGAGAAAAAAAATGGAATTCATTAAGGCGAGCTTTTTTGAAGTAACGATTTCACATAGAACATTCATAAGAAATTAATGTCAAATTCAATTTTCTTTTTAAGAAATCCTTAACAACATCCGCCTCTCTAACCGGTCATTATTAGAAATGTTGATGAGAATTTTTCTTGATGAAGAAACAACCAGTTTCCTTATATATGATCTTTATATTGCTTGTAGATAAAATACAAGTTTCTATGGCATGAACTAGCTTATTGTACAACATAGAAAAACATTTCGAATAGAAATTTAAAATAATCAGTTTAGCAATGTATTATTCTTACACTACGGTAGCGTTCTGAGCATAGTTTTTGTTTTTTGAATAGTGTCATTCATATTAGACTTGGAATAAAGACTATTCTATCCTAGTTTTAATAAAGGCATTCTTTACTAGTCGGTAAACAAGTGTGGCATAGTTCTTTACTTTTTCATAGATTTATTCCAAGCAATGACGTTATATAAATTTCATAATCAAGAATAATTCATTACCATTGGATGTGTTATTAAGAACTTGTGATGAAGAAAAGCATGAGCTACATGTTCTTTTTCTTCTCCTGATTGTTTATACATGTCCACACAATTACATAAAAAAATCAATCAATACTAAGAAATCTACTCGGTGTGTAGTCAAAAGAAAAAGTTCAATATTATATTTTTTTTAAAATCCATAATCAGATTTTAATATTTCGATCTAATATTTGATGCTGTTGATGCCTATAAGAAGTAAAAAGAAAAAGAAAAAGACTTAGAATTTACTAATCTATTTACAAAAAAAAGAAACAAATATACTTTTGTCGGCACATCAAGATTAAGCTTTTCAGCTAAGCGCCGTGCAAGTTCATCATCGACATTAGCAAATATGGCAATTGAACGGCGGACTATATCTCTGTCAGTACATTGTTGTAAATGATCAGCAATATTATTAATTATATTTGCACGGCCACGATCATCTAATACTTGCTAAAAGAAAAAAGAAAGCAAGGCACGTTTTTTCTTTTTCTTGCAAAACAATCATATAAAGTAATTTAGAAAGTATACATCTTCATGTCTATTTTTATAAGATAAGAATCTCCTGTCTAGCGGTTCAGATTTATGGCATGCTAGACTTGCATTGACATAATGATGATGATCATTATTTTCTTCTTTGCAACACGCGTTTTTTTTTTAAATAATTAAATCCAATCGGTACTAGCTGAGAAGTTCCTGATAGTTAGGTTTAATTAAAATTGAAGTATTTAACAAAGAATCTTTTCTGTCTCGAGATATTTAAAGTTTCATCAGTCCAATAAAATATGAATGAGAAAATTTTATATAAAAAGTTTTTGAAACCTGGATATTCGAAAAAAAAGATTTAAAGTTTTTTAATTTGATACTTAGGGGAATCTAATAATAAAATATTCAATAGAAGAAGCATAAATTAGTAATAGTAAGCTGTTAATCTAAATGATTTCAAACGTTGTTCACTCGTGATATCATTCAATAATAGCGAAAATATAGATTCAAAAAATAATGAACCAGTTCAAATGTTTTACTCATTATTAATGTATCTTACTCGATAGAAGACTCGTGGTTGTGAATAATTGTCGTCTTCACTTGCTTCATGGCGTGCTGCCATCCCTGATTCAAATGTTGCATGTTCAATATGTTTATCACGATTCGTCACATCCGGACCATTATATGAATTCTTATAGTAGTTTGGAGCACTGCCTAAATTTTTTGTTAAATTCATTATTCTTTTTATTTAATAAATTAACTAAACTAACCTTGATTACGGCCTGTTTGCATGGCACCATCACGTTGATAAGTACAAACTTTAACATTTTTATTTGTTTCAGGATTATTAACTGGAATGAGATGATGATTTGTACCAACACGATGAAGATGTGTATCAGCATATGAAAAAAGTCGACCCTACAACACACACACACACACATATATATATATATATATATAATTTAACTAAAAACAAAACAATCGATTTTTAATGATTCTTTGTTTTTTCAAATACTTGTAGCATTTTATCCGGTGATGCTTCGATGCCTGGTGGCATATGTGCCGGTGAAAAAGCAGCTTGTTCAATTTGTGCAAAATAATTCTCGGGATTTTCCGTTAATGTTACTTTACCAAGCCGACGTAATGGAAAATCATTTTGTGAAAATACTTTCGTTAAATCAAATGGATTATACGGAAGTGTTTTAGCTTGCTCATGTGTAACAACCTAAAAATTAATTTCAATGTTTAGAAATTTTTATTTTCAAAATTTTTATTTTGAAATACTTGAACATAAAGTGTCCAACTTGGATATTCTTTTCTAGCAATCGCATTATAAAGATCCGATAGTGCATAATCGGGTTGTTCACCAGCTAAAGTTGTTGCTTTTGCTGGATTCAGATTTTTAATACCTTGATCACTCTGAAGAAATGAATTTATTTGAAAGATAAGAACAAAAGAAAAAGCAACAAGTTTACTCGAAGATGAAATTTAACCCAAACAAATTCATTTCTATCATTAACCATTTTAAATGTATGAGAACCATATCCATGCATGTGACGAAAACCATCTGGTATACCTCGATCCGAATAAAGAAATAAAAACTAGGCAAAAAATCTTCGTTTAACATAGAAATTGAACAGAAATATATGAAATTACTTGATGCGTAGCCATTGGATGATTAGCGAAAAAATCCCAAACCATATTTGCATCTTTTAAATGTGTTTGTGGATTACGTTTTTGAGAATGAATAAACATTTGAAACTAAATAAAAGGAAAATTTGATATTATCAATTAAATATTCATTTACATACTAATAATGGATCACGAACAAAAAATATGGGTGTATTATTACCAACTAAATCCCAAATGCCTAAAGAAATGTAAGAAATGCATGATTTTTATTTCTTTTTGTTTTTAATTAAATATTCACCTTCATCCGTATAAAATTTAACGGCAAAGCCTCGAGGATCACGTACTGTATCAGCTGAGCCACTTTCACCAGCTAGAGGAATACAAGAAAATTAGACCACTTGTCGTAAAGCATATGTAATTAATAAATTTGATACATACCAACAGTTGAAAAACGAATGAGAACACGTGTTTTTGTTCCTTTTTCCAATACCTTTGCTTTACAAATATCCGATGCATCATCAGTTGCTTCAAATACACCAAATGCACCAGCACTATAAAATAAAAGATAGATTAATGTTTTTTTTTTGTGTGTTTTCATAAAACAAACCCTTTGGCATGAACGACTCGTTCAGGTACACGCTCACGATCAAATCGTTGAACATCTTCAATGTAGGGAAAATCAGAAAGTAGCAATGGTCCTCGTGGACCAACTGTTACAACATTTGACCGCTCGCCAAGTGGACGACCATAACCAGTTGTTAATTGTTCAGATTTCTATAAAAATAAGCTATTATTACTTACGATTAAATTTAAAAACAAATCTTACATGCGAGTTTTTGTAATCAAGTATTTGGCTGTCGGATGGACAAGTTTGCTGTGCATTAGCCATTACGCAATAGATCTAAAATAGTCAGAAAAGAAAACATAGAATAATATGTAACAGATCCATGTACACTCAAATGCACACCCCTTCTTGCTTTTTTTCTTTCTAGATGTTATCACTCTTTGTGTTTATCATGTATAGGTCAAAATGAAAAAGTACCTTCAGTTCGTTATTCTGCTCTCGATACGAATAACTAAATATATTTGATTTAGAGTCAACAAATAAATACGAAGGGTCAATGAAATCTATCGATATGTGGGTCTCCTTTTGTGTTTGGTTAAAGACAAAAATTAAATATAAAAAATTATTGCGCTCTCTGGTAAGTATGATTAAAAAAAGTGAACATTGGACTTTCACGAATACGCACTAGAAGAAATACGAGATAAGCACCCGCATATTTTTTTAGCTTTCTTTTATCAGTTGCTTTTTTTTCTTCTTTTTTGATTTATTTTGAAAAAAAGACAAAAGATGACGCTCGAAATCAGTAACGGTCAATCATGAATGCAAAAAGTTTTCATTCATTTACAATTACGTAAATTGAAAATGACTTTTGCAACAAATAGTTGACCCACACCGAAACAATTCATACCATAGAGATATAATATTGTTTTTTGTTTCAACAGAATAGACTTTTATCATGAGTTCTAGTTTTCAATGCAACGTTGAATGATGACAAGTTCAACTATATTTATTTTTCAATTCGGCAGTTTATTAAATACGTTTGGAAAGTTTTGACAGAAAAAGAAAATAATATATTAGGACTTTTAAAAAGATGAAAATGATAATTTGACATTGTGATTCATACAAAATGCGCCTGATTGTCTAGGAAAATTTAGTCTTCAAATTTCTTCAGAATTATTTCACGTCTTGTCGAATCAGACCTCTTTTTTTTCTATACTGCTACATAAGAAGTTAGTCAGTCAATAGAACAATGCTCTGTATTCTCTTAGTATTTCATCGCTCCCTAGGCGATATGATAATAAAAAGTATTAGGATTATGATTAACAAGGCAATAACAAATTTATTGAGATTATCTCTTAGCGTCTTGCAAAACAGAATCTGATTGTCACGAAATGGAATAAAGTTCATTATGAGCAACCTTTGCTTGAATGTCAAACCAAGAATTTTTATTTTGTTCATCTACAACAGCTTGTATCAATATTTTATTACTAATATATCATTTGAAGAATGAGCCATCGCTGCTACTTCTGGCAACACTTAAATATACGTGAGTAGAAGTATAAAATTGATATTACATGATGATATTTGATGAGAATTAATTATTTATTTCAATCAATTTAGTTTTTAGTTTTCTTTAAAGAATAAATCAACGGAAAAAAATGTATCTACGAATCGAAAGGAATATCGATGATAATTTCGATTTTTCTTTGACAATCAATTATTTATCAAGTAAAACTGTTTAAAATATTTCCATAGAAACTTATCGATATTTATGTATTAAATTCTGTTGTATCATTCGTTCATAATCTTGTTCTCTCAATCCTAATATAATATTAATCGATTCATCATTTACATGTGCATCCATTATTTCAAAATATCGCGGATACAATACATCTGTTGGTCCATTGTAAATAGGATATCCGCTATTACCAAATTTGGCACCTAACAGATTTACTTTTCGCCATGATGCACAATGAAAATCACGATTAAATAGATCAGCATCGACTCGATTCTTTTTTATATCACCATCACCACTCATTAAATAAGCATTATAATCTCTTAATGAATGTTCCGTTTGCTTGGAATACATTTCATGTATCATTTGTGCTAATGATGAAAGAGTTGGTTCTCGATCTGACGGTATTTTACCATAGAGCCAAAATGGAAATGAACCGAAGTAATTGAGAACGGCTGGTGAACACGAAGAAACGAAACGCGATCGACCATTGAATGATTGTAGAATTTTGATATTATCAGTTAATGAAGTTTGAGTCGCTTGAGCAATCACTAAAATCATATGTGCATAAAGAGCATCATAGGTGCTGATATAATCGATTGATTCTGGTAGAGATTTTGATGCTTCTTTTTTTAGATTTTTTAATTCATCAGTAGAGAAAAAATAAACTTTGCAAATAACACGCTGTTGTTGTTGTTGTGCTTCGGCGAATCTTGAATCAGAAGATTGATTAATATCACGATTGAAAACGCAGTCCTTTGGTCGAGTTAGAGAGCTGATACGTTGCCGTTGTTCTTCAGTGGGATATAAAACAAAAGTTTTGTCGAACATTGGCATTGGTTCTGGTGGCTTAGCCGATGCCCATGTATTGATGAAATGTGACATAGCATGTGGATCAAAGAAACAATGAAAACCTGATATACTTAAAATAACGCTATTACATTTGAGACGCGTTACTAGTATCGATACACAAGGTCCTGTCCAATCATTGTTTACTTTCAAGACTAAATTACTTGTATTGATATGTTCATAATCAAATTCTTCGTCCGAAAGCGTTCGAGGTATGAAATAGTCCATAGTTTGATTCGGACATTCTGCTTCGGTATAAAGAACACCTTCATTTGTTAAATGAACAGTGACATTGCCTTTCTCATCTTCAATAATACGACCAGCTAACATGGGAAAATAATTGAGCGTATCCGATAGAGTAGTTTGTAAATGATTAGATGGCATAAAATTATCTTTCGACAAGTTTGCAGTATTCGAATAGAACCATATCATATTAGTAGGCCATTGCTTTGTATTCGATTCAACAGCCATACATACTATAGGTTCAACATTTTTCGTTGGATTTGAACATTTAATTGTTATAGACGGTTGTTTGATGATAGTAGCCATAATGTACGTGTGTATGTGCGTAAAACAAGGTCGATGCCTTTTTATATTTACTTTGAAACGATGTGTCGCAATTCTATCTTGTTCTTGCGAAAGAAAAAAAAGCCGATGGTATACATCCGACGTGGCGAAATGATAGAATGAAAAAAAGGGTGTGGGTGTGGGTGTAAGTGCCAGTGTGAGTGTAAGCTGTGTGTAGTAGTATATCATCCCACACCCACCTTTTCAAAACAATATTAACTTTTGATATGGGCAATAGATAAGAGAACACATTTATGCTAGAAGATATCGCTTCTGCCATAACACTCGTCCATCAAAGAAAAACTGAAAAAAGTAATCCGCAATCGAAATAACAGACAAAGACATCAAGTACTTTTTGTGGACGGTGTAAAAGTATCGTGATCGGTAGCAACGTTTGCATACCCAGGACTATGTTTCCGGCCTCCGGAAATGAGCGGATTTCATTGGAACCGGCCAGAAACATACTGGAAACGCACCGGAACGTGCAGGAAAACGCTGGATATCATCGGACCCTGGAAGCAGGATTCCGGGACGGGTTTTTCCGGATTTTCCCGGTGATTTCCGGCGGGAACCAACAGGAACTTGGCGGAATTTACAGGAAAAATCCGTAGATTTCCCGATCCGGAATACTGCTTCCGTGAAATCGCGGGAATGCGCGGGAACCGGCCGTTTCCCGGGCCGGTTGCTTCGACCTGGGTAGTGAAAGTATATCAGTTATAATGTTAATTAGTTGGAGCTGTAAGACATAACGAATTCAATTGCTAGGATCAAACTTGATTACAGACGGACAGACGATATTGGTTGACTAAGAACTACATCAGTCTTGAGAATCATTAATAAACTAATAATGGAAAATCTAAACAAAATCACGATGAAAAAATCGTATTAATGCGAGAAGTATCTCAGTTTGCTATTTTTCGATTATAAAGTATTAAGACCCATAATATTATTATAGTCATTAGCGATCTGAATTATCGATTCATTACATAAAAGATTTTAGCGCAATCCCTGTGGGATTAAAATGTGAAACACGATGAAACTTCTTTTCTGGAATTCGACTATCACAGTCACTGATGGTCTGTGGAGCTTCTTTGCTACAGTCTGTATTATGCTGTATGAAGTCTCTAGAAACCACCACAGACAATTACAGAGACTTCAGAGACCACCATAGACCATTACAGAGAAATTTAATAATTAATTAATTATTAATTGGGTGTGGGTGTGGGATGATATACTACTACACACAGCGCACACTCACACTGGCACTTACACCCACACCCGCACTACCCTCAGGCACTTCCGATTATCTGGCCTCAAGCAAGAACAATTCTTTTTCTCACTTGATCACATCGTAAGTATGTCGAGCTATTCCCAATCCCTATTGTAATTTAATTATATGAACAGTTCATTGATCTATGATATGATTGTTATTGATAAATTTAAATACTATAAGAAATATTTTCTAATCGAAAATCCAAGTGTTTTATGTCATATGAAATCACTGAGTCGCGTTGTTTACTTTCCTTCTAATGCACCAACCCTGCAGAGAATCGCGAAATTTTGATTGTATTTTTTCTCATAGGATGGTGAAAGAAACACAAAAACGATTGCAACATCAGTTGTAATTACGAAGATAGTGTTCTACTTATCCTAAAATCTACGTATGAGGGAAAGTAAAAGTAACACGTGACAAATAAGAAGCGTAGGTTGTAAGTATTCTTTCCACGAGAATATACATCGCGCATTCTTATATCACTTGAAGAAAAAATAGATAAAGTATGTTTTTATTGCTGTTGAAACAATGATTCATCGATGGAGAACTATATAATAAATGAACTGATGTTGACTCCTTTTCATTCATACAGTTTGAATAACGACAAGATTGCGTCAGTCAGTGTAAGTGTATGTTTACCTCAGTAAAAAAGCAAAGCAACTGAACTTACCCATTGTTAACTTCAATTTGTTATGGTGCAATTTTGAACTCAATTATCAATTGAAATCAATTATGTTGTAGTTACTGTTTAAAAGTTTATTGGGCTTCAGTTTTCTGATGACCTTAGGAAATAGATCGGAGCAAAGTGTTGTTCCCATACATTGTAACTGCACATATAGATTTTCAAGTACTCTTCTTCATCTCTACACGGTAGACTGACATCTAGTAAGACTCTCGCTGAAGTCAGTAGTTCAGATGACAGTTAACATCTTTGATCTCCATCAACAGTTTACCTGATGCTTTATGAATTTTCTTTCTTATGAAAAATCCGCTCTATATTACAGTTATCATTTTCAAAAAATTCCCTTATTTGAATAGAAAATCCCATTGAATGTAGTGATGAGCCATTCCCAGCACGTGACTATCTGCTATTTAGAATCTTTGCAAAATCCCAACTATTCCATGAGAGGAAGGTAAAAACATTGTCTCCAAAATATGGGACTCTCTTCAAAGGTATTAATTGGAGAATCTTAAAAACAAAAGAAAACTTTGCATCTTCCTATCAATTCAACTCGATAAAAATTTTACGAAAAACCGATCGCACATTGACATTCAGTTAGATGATTATCATCTCTTTATTTCTAGATAACAGTTTTTTTCTAATATGAGCAGAGCAGCTCGTAATGGCAATAGTTCAACAACGGCATCAGCCGGTATTACTTCTACAATGCTAACTTATTATGTTTATGAAGACTTGGTCTTTCATGTACAAGCGATTCAACTACAAATGATTGAAATAGCGAAATTTATTGATGATCAGGCTAAAAATGATCAGAAAATGAGAATGAAATTGAAATCACGTTCGTTGACGTTTGTGGATCCTTACGGAAATCCAACAACTAATCAATATTTCGATCATGAGATCATCAGTACACTATTCAACAAGTATAAGAAAGATTATGTTCCAAAATATTTACAAAAATGGATAAAACTTGGAAAAATGAATGCAGGTGTTATTTTACCATTGACTGAACGTGAACTGAATTCGACTATATCGGAATATGATAATGGTTATCGTTTTGTTACTTATGGCGAAGTCAACCTATCGATTATATATTCTGAGCATAGACGACCTCACACATTAGTACTATCAGTTCTTCTGATTGACAACGTAAAAAAGATTAAAACACGAATACCGAAAACTCGAAGACTTGAAAATATAGAATTAAAATCCTTCACTACAAATGACGAGTCTTCAAAAAATGTAGCGTGTTTGAATGAAGAGCGAACACTCAATCCCAATGACACTGTCTTATCAGCTAAGCTATATGAACATAACTGCATCATCATGGCTAAACTAGTGGAAGAAGTAAACTATTATTTTAGTCTACTGTTTCATTCTTGATTAGTTTTTATTTAGAGTGCTTCTAACAAATCTAGTTCAGATTTTCATATCTTTATAAAGACTCTAACTGGAAAGACTCACACTATTAAAGTAAATCCTTTCACGGATATATTCACTGTGAAAGCATTGATCCAAGGCAAAGAAGGTATTCCTCCTGATCAACAGCGTTTGATATTTGCTGATCAACAACTAGAAGATTGGCGAACTCTCGATGATTACAACATCCAAGAGGAGAGTACGATTCATCTAGTACTACGTTTACGTGGTGGAATGTATCATTTTACAAGTGGTCGACGCAATTTCGATGAATTACCATCTGCACAAGCCGAAGCAATAAAACAAGTTCTTGTATTTCAATTTGAACATACTGATTATCTAGAAACTTTGCCACTGACTGATTTACAAAATTCCGTTTTACGAGGACACACTTTACTCTCAGAATTGCTCTCGCAAATCAAAGGTTATTCGGTATCCCATGATGTTTCAAATTTAGAAAACGTTATACTGTCGAATCCTGCTGATGGCAAAGACGATGATGATGGTTTGAATGATGAATGAAAATCATCACTCGAAAAATAATTACGAGTATCTCGATTATTGCAACATGATGTAAATATAATTAACTTGATTTCGGTGTGTCTGTGCGACTGAAATATATGTTTCTGAACTGTTATTTTTATAAAAAAATCTTTGAACTACAAAGATCTTTTTCGTTTGAGATAACATGTTTGTTTTCCAACAGACGAGAAATATCTTATTTCAAATCTGATATTATCTTGGAAATGGTATGTTTGAGTTATTTTTCCCAAACTATTTATCATGCTCTATCCTATTTATTTTTATAAACTGATTTACCCGAACAGGTTTTATATTATTGCCAATAAAGACACTTGCAATATGAAATTGTTTGCGAAACATCCATACAGTCTATATATGTAATGTTCAGTGCCTGTGTGTCTGTCTGTGCCGGGTCAAAGGTCAAAGTTTAAAGGTTAACTGTTAACGATTAAGAGTTGTGTAGAGTCCTACTATGTTTCTAGAAAGTTCTAAAAATATGTAGACTGTTCCAGAATGTTCCACAACTATCTACAGCTTTCTATAATCCATTTTAATGATCTGGCACTGAGTAGAATGTTACAGAAAATTCTAGAATCTTTAGCGATGGGTGGGTGCGTGCGGTGTGGGGTGTGGGTGTGGGTCTGCAAAACAAAACAGTCCAAACCTAGACCCCCACCCACCTAATTTTCAAGGTTATACAATATCAATTCAAGAAAAGCTCATGACATATATTGAGCAAAATCTTAATTCTTCGTTAAGTAAGAAAATTGAACATCAAGTTGAACTGATTCATTATGATTATTATATTCGAACATTGGAATTAGAATATTTTCAACATAAATCAAATGAATATCAAGTATGTTTTTTTTGGAAAATAGATACATAATGCTTCTTTTAATCTAATTGAAAACATTTTTAGAAACAACTGATGAAACAAATTTGTCAAAGTAAATATAAACAAGAAACATCAGACAAGAATATGAATTTTTGAAACAACAAATTGCATATTACAATTTACCAAGTCAATCATTTGAATGCTCAACAATATCTCATCATCCCCAAGTGAGCAAAAGACTGGTTAAATGACTAGTCTTTTTTCTAGTCAAGTCGACCCGTCCCGTCTAGT